CGGCCAGGTGCGTGCCGGGGGGCAGGGCCAGCCTTCTTCTCCCAGCCCACTGCTCCATGCAGCCCTTGCTGCCCCAGCACCTTCCCCTTGCTTTGCTGTCCATGGAGTGGGGCTGAATGCTGCAGGGAAGACGGAGTGCTGCCGAGGCCCCTTGCGAGCAGGGCTTGGGAAGCAGCCTATGCAGAGGTGGTGGGTGGCGCCAAGCCTGGGCCTGGCCTGTGTGGGACAGCTGGTCTCTGACTGTCTCTGCCCCTCTGCAGGGCCCTTGCTGCCCCAGCACCTTCCCCTTGCTTTGCTGTCCATGGAGTGGGGCTGAATGCTGCAGGGAAGACGGAGTGCTGCCGAGGCCCCTTGCGAGCAGGGCTTGGGAAGCAGCCTATGCAGAGGTGGTGGGTGGCGCCAAGCCTGGGCCTGGCCTGTGTGGGACAGCTGGTCTCTGACTGTCTCTGCCCCTCTGCAGGTGAGGCCTTCCACTCCTCAGAGCATCATCAGCACTCGGACCTCACTGCTCCTCCCAACAGTCCCACCGGCCTCCCCTCCCAGCCGCCAGCGCTGGTCCCCTCCAAGCAGATGCCTGCCCATCCGGGGCCCTTCGGCTCCCCCCCCCCCGTCCCACCCGCTGGGCACCTCCCCACAGGCTGCACTCTTCCCTGCTCCCAGCGTGCAGGCGGCAGCCCCGAAGCCGGCATCCGAGTCTCCTCCCACTGGTACCGTCTCACACAGCCCGGGGTCATGTAAGAGCCCTCACCTGCCCCCCGCCAACGTGCCGCTGCTGAAGATGCCGCCTCCGCTGTCGGGCTGCACTCATCCCTGCAACGGGCACTGCAGCACTTCGCTCATCCCTCCTCCCACCTCCCACCAGCTGCCCAGCACGAACAGGTGAGTAGAGGAGCCCTGCCTGCTTCCAGCCTCTCCTTGCTGGACCATGCACCCTTTCTCCCACCCCTGCCCGTGGATGTGCTTTTCCCCGCGGAGGGACCGGCTGCCCTGGCGTGGTGGTGCAGAGAGCCACTGTGTTTGCGGGCCAGTTCTGCTGCTGCAGACCCCTGGTTTCTGAGGGTTGAGCTCTTTGTCTCCACACGTGTCTTCTCCCTGCGGTTGTCCTTTAGTACTGTGGTGCAGAAGAGACTGTGCTTGCTCCTCCTCCAGCTAAAAGGAACCACCCGGTCAACCTGCTGTTGGCCGACAGGACCTTTGTCAGTGAGACCCGTCGGGCAGCTGTGGCACTGAGCAAAGGTCCTCAAGAAGATGAAGCCTGTGGACTTGTTCTGCTCGCCTGCTCCCCTGGCCCTCTCTGGGCTGCCTGTGCCCTGGAAGAGAGCATGCTGAGTTGCGGGTGCTGGTTCCTCTCCACTGATTAGCGCTCCCTGCGAAGGGCCAGCCAGGTCCCAAGCTGGAGCTTGAGGAATGGTGCTGTGGGCCGAGCCCTGGCCTCCCTGTCTCTGAGCTGGGTAGTCTGTGCCTGTGGGAGCCGGGCCTGCCTGTACGTGGGGATGTCTGGCAGCTGCATGCAGTTCCAGCGTTTCTCACCTGTGCTACCTTCTGCCCCCAGTGAGTACCGCTCCCTGCCCTGGAATCAGCTTGTGGCCTGGCAGGGGGACGCTGCTTTCTGGAGCTCTGGTGCGCCAGCGTCCTGCCTGCCAGAGGCCCTGGGGGGCGAGGAGCTACAGACGTCTTCTGCCGTGGGCTCCTCTGGCATCTCCCCAGGAGGAGGAGAATGCAGGGGAGGGGGTTTGTCTGCCCTGCAAATCTTTCTGCTTGGGCACAGGCTGCCCTGGGAGGGGTGCTCCTGCACGTGTAGTGTGGGGCAATTTTTGAGACCCCTGGTTCCCGCTCACCTCTCGTCCTTCTCCCCTTCTCCTCAGGGACTCCTCTTGCAAAGGACACAAATTCCCAAACGGTACCAGCTGCCACCCACCGCAGCCATGCGAGGCAGATGAGGGGCTTGGGGAGGACGAGGACAGCAGCTCAGAGCGCAGTTCCTGCACCTCCTCCTCCACCAACCAGAAAGATGGGAAGTTCTGCGACTGCTGCTACTGTGAGTTCTTCGGCCACAATGCGGTGAGTGAGGGGCTAGTCTGCAGCCATCCCCAGTCCTTGCTCTCCGCTCTGCAGTGACACATTGCACGGTCCGTGTACTGAGAGTGTGGAGGTGGGCAGGTCTGGCCACGGCTGTTCCCTGCTGGCTTGTGCATACACCCCCCTTCATTTCCATCCTGCCTCATCAGCCTGCTGGTCCCCTTGCTCCCGACTCGCAGCCGCCTGCCCAGCCCTGGGGCTTGGCGTAGCCAGCCAAACCCTGTGGCTTCGCGGTGGAAAAGAGTTCAGTGGGGGCTGTGCCGACTTGTCTCGCTGAGACCTCGGGGAAGGGAGCGGTTGGAGAGGTCGGTGGGGGAGCCAGGGCTGCCTGCACGTCACACTGGCTTCGCGTGCCTGCCTGGCTGACAGCGCTTGCCTTCCGCAGCCCCCGGCCGCTCCCACGAGCCGCAACTATGCTGAGATCCGGGAGAAGCTGCGTTCACGCCTCACCAAGAGGAAAGAGGAGCTGCCGCAGAAACTAGGGCACAACAGCAGCTCAGGAGAGCCTGCTGTGGACCACCGCAACGTCGACGAGCTACTGGACTACATCAACAGCACAGAGCCGAAGCCCTTGAACAGTGCCAAGGCAGCCAAGAGGGCACGGCACAAGCAGAAGAAGAAGGTGAGGCTGGGCAGAGGGAAGCGTTGGCCAGGACAGGCTGCAGGAGGGAGGTTAGGGCAAGGCTGTGCCCCTTGCAGGGCTTTGTCTTCTTTCCCTCACATCCATTTGGTTTCTTGAACTTTGTGTGCTTTGTTGCCCTCTCCCCTGAGGTGACAGCGGTGCCCGGCTCCGTGAAGGGCTTCCCCTTCCTCTGTTCCTGCAGAGGGTGACTCAGCCCTCCGGGGCGCTTTGAGCTGCACTGTCCTATCTGTTCCATGCTACGTCTCTGACAAACAACGTGTGCTGTGGCAGGGAGAGGCAGTGCTGTGATGCTTGTGCTGGTGCCTCGTGCCCAGAGCAGTGTTCAGTGTGCAGTGTGGTAGCTGGTGCAGAGCCTGCAGAGGGCACGTGACAGTTTGGGGGCTGTGGAAGGTGTGGGGTGGCTATGCTAAGCACCAGCCCTTTGTTTTGCTGCCTGACAAAGCTGGTGCACAGCCGTGGCCTGTGCCTGTGGCTCTGTGGCCCAGGCCACTGATCCTTGTGGCACCTGTGTTGCAGGAGAAGGAGAAAGCCCAGCTGGAGGCGGAGGCCCAGAAGCGGGCAGAGCGTGCCCCTGCAGCTAGCCAGGCCAGGGAGCCGGCCGAGGAGAAGCTGCTGGAGGGGCCAGGGCGGGAGCTGGAGCGGGTGAACAGCTTCCTCAGCAGCAGGCTGCAGGAGATCAAGAACACCATCAAGGACTCCATCCGGGCCAGCTTCAGCGTCTATGACCTCAACCTGGATGTCAACGACTTCCCCAAGAAGGCAGCTGTCCTGGAGCAGAAGAACCTGCTTTCCCACCTCAATGGCTCCTCCGACCTGCAGGACATAGACCTGGCCCTGGCCCCGCTCAGCCTGGGCCCTGCCAAGAGCCACACGCTGCTGCGGGGAGAACTGGGCCCCCGATGGGGCGAGGGGCCCGGAGAGC